ATAACATAAATATTAACACCAAGCAAACGTTATAACATAAGTATTAACACCAATCAAACGTTATAACATAAGTATTAACACCAATCAAACGTCATAACATAAGTACTAACAACAATCAATCGTTATAACATAAGTATTAACACCAATCAAACGTTATAACATAAGTATTAACACCAATTAAAAGTTATAACATAAGTATTAACACCAATCCAGCGTTATAACATAAGTATTAACAAGATTGTTACGTTTTGAAGACTAACTGTTTTATTAACACCAATCAAATGTCATAACAAAAATGTCACTGTTTTTAACAGTTTGTGTCAAGAGACACAAAGTTGACACAATGAAATTACCTTTCATAGCGTGAGTATGTGACAGAAGAGGCGGGGCTGCGACCCGAGGGCTTTTGATTACTCGACTGGCCTTTCACTCATCTCCGCCACATCCGGGCCCTTGCTTGCTATGTGACGTCGGAGCTTACATCATTTAACTGGATCTGCTGTTCGACTGGCGAGTCCAGTCGTTGTTAGAAGAGACAGAACTTCCTAAACCTCTGACAAACCGAACAACGATTCTGCTTCATCTCAGAGAAACAAGAGATTCACGAGCTCACGTGCCAGTTTTGTATCTGGTTAGTGTTAAGTGTGGAGGGGAGACAACTAGAACGTATACCAGCAGAATGAGTTTGGTTGGCGGGTACAGTCAGCCTTTCCCTGGTCCAGAAACCTTATACTCAACTTATTATGCCGCGAGGTTTGAGACCCCCGGCGCACCCTGTGTATCTTCTGATGCCTCCTTCTTTACTCCTTGGACATTTGCTCCCACTAATCAAAGCTCTGAAAATTCACCCCACAACGTGGAACATACCGTTCCACCGTACGTTTCATCTCCCGGTCAGCAGACTTCATCCACTGGTGGACCTATAGGTTCAGCCACAGGGTGTGACTATATATACAGCCCGAGTGGGGTAGCCAGTATCGGTCCAGACGGAATGTTAATGTTCCCGGAACGTGGCGGGATAAAGAGGAGAAATACCGCAAACAAGAAAGAGAGACGCCGCACTCTATCTATCAACAACGCATTCGCAGATCTACGTGAGTGTATCCCGAACGTTCCCGCTGACACAAAACTGTCGAAGATCAAGACCCTGCGGCTTGCCACCAGTTACATAGCTTATCTTATGGACTTACTGGCCCAGGACAACCCGGCGTGCGCCCCTAACGGCGGCTTCAAGGCCGAACTAACGAAGAAGTTCGAATCTAGGGACGAGAAGAGGAAGACGGAAATAGTGAGTCTTAGAAATACTTTTGAATAGAAAATTTAACATTGTTTAGCTACAACAAATTATCCTTAATCCACTTAACATATCAGTACACATGCTATATATTATCTTTAATCCACTTAACATATCACTACACATGCTGTAAGTGATCCTTAATCCACTTAACATATTAGAACACATGCTATGTATATTATCTTTAATCCACTTAACATATCAGTACACATGCTATAGATTATCTTTAATCCACTTAACATATCAGTACACATGCTATAGATTATCTTTAATCCACTTAACATATCAGTACACATGCTATATATATTATCTTTAATCCACTTAACATATCAGTACACATGCTATAGATTATCTTTAATCCACTTAACATATCAGTACACATGCTATATATTATCTTTAATCCACTTAACATATCAGTACACATGCTATAGATTATCCTTAATCCACTTAACATA